CTGCTCACTTCACTGCTGCTCACTTCACTACTGCTCACTTCACTGCTGCTCACTTCACTGCTGCTCACTTCACTGCTGCTCACTTCACTACTGCTCACTTCACTACTGCTCACTTCACTGCTGCTCACTTCACTACTGCTCACTTCACTACTGCTCACTTCACTACTGCTCACTTCACTACTGCTCACTTCACTGCTGCTCACTTCACTACTGCTCACTTCACTGCTGCTCACTTCACTACTGTTACCATTGATCCTTGTTCCGCAAGATTTTCACTCGCCGACACGAGGAGCTTGAAAATCTTTCTGTTTTCACTCAGTAAATGATTAATTTGGATTCTTCTTGAAGTTTGTTATTTTATTCCTTGCTTTCTTTGTACTTTGACACCATGTGATAAAACGTGTGGTCTATACTGCCGTCTTTTCTTCAGATCCTGGTCATGATTATTTATCACGATGTTACTTATGGACGCTTCATGGGCTGACACATTTGACTTTAACTATTATTCTTGAACAACGTTATATCTGAAAATATGCATGAACGAATGCACCATGAACACATATTCAGTTTGCATGTTAGAATTTAAATTTATTAATTGTACATATTGAGAATGAAGTATGTACTTGCCATGCGACTCACTGCAAGCGCGTAGCTGCATGTCGTGCGCCTGCTATCGCTGGGACGGCTCTAGAATTATTATTGTTATTACTGACGTTTTATCGGATCTTCATATAATTGTACATCTGATAATAGTTGCGTATTTCAATTATCTAATTATAATTTCGTATTTTAGTTATTTAATAATTATTGAGTGTCTAGCCCGACGAACTGCTTCCAATGAGGCAGGTTCCTGACGCACTAAATTCTTCATCATTCACATCAACCAGCGGAACAAATTGGTAATTGAACTTAGTTCTCTTCCTAGTCGTTCGTCTTGAGTAGGAAATGCCCTATTTCATTTTTATTGAGCACACAATTGTCAAGACGAATTTATGAAGGTAATTCAAAACATTTTAGAAATGAGATAGCTTAAAAATACAGTGGAAAAAGTATAATTTTGTAGCGATATTGTAACTTTGGCTGTCGAAACTATAGTCGAGACGCCAGAGATCTCTTCAAGGGGTCATATAAAGGACGGTGTTGCAAGTATAATAAGTTTGGTAACGAGAGAAATGTTTGGCTCGGCAAGACAGCGTCGTCGCTAAGGTTAGCGGTGTGAGCGTGCGGTTACTTACTGTTACTTACGTCTTGTTTAATGGATTAAAGACCTTGTATACTAACCATGCTTGCTGTTACACTTGCAGTGTCATCGCCCGTTTCCACTTACCTTATTTGATTTGTTTCTCTTAGAATTTTCAGTTCCCACATTGCAATTTTCAAGGAATTTTTTTTCCTAACTTCTCTTCACCTAACATAACATTGGTGATCTCTATTCACTTCAATTTCTACGTTTATTTAATAATTAGTCGATGTCATTTCGTTTCCCCTCTCATTAGATAAAAACCACTGGCATTCTAGTCCAGTTGCAACTAAATTAACTAGTTTTAATAGTTTACTATTCACTCTTTTCATGGGCATGCATTAAATCTCACCTTTCATGTGCGCTATAATAAAATTTATTTTACCTGTATATGAACAATTACAATACCTCAATAATTATTCCGAGACGCAGGAGTCTAAACAATACATCAATGAGCCGATCTCACTGTTCTCCTGTCCCTATCTAATTTATTTTGCTTCAGTATTTTCATAATCACCTCGATAGTAAGATTGTTCATCGGTGCTTATCTTGGTCTTAATGATAATATTTAATTAATTCTTATAAACGTGGAATAAATCCTGAACCTTCAGTAAACATACTCCGAGTTATTTGCATTGGAAGGAATGGTAACGGCGATATGCAGCGTAGTGTTAGATTCTGTTTCGTTGGGGACGATCAAGCGCTGCAGATCTATCAATCAATGTTATCAATCAATATTCAATTTTATCGATGTTAGTGTTCCATCAATAATATTTTTGGCTCATTGTTCTTTGTCGCATTACGAAGAAGGATTTAAGTTACTTATCTTATTTGCGAGCGTTTGAACTGCACTGTAACGTTCCATTTACCTCGTTCCTTGGTATAAGTATTTTCGACTGATTCACCCATGATGTTGAAGTGGATTGCAGTGTTCACGAGTACTAAAATATCATTTGTTTATGTGTAGACATTTGCTTTGCGTGTTTCTCTTACACTCAAAAAAGCGTTTGGGTACAACTCATAATTTTATTATCTCTTTGAGTCTTTGAGCTTTTTGAAAAATAAACAAAGCTAAACGTTAATTTTTGTTAAACTAATTTGTATCTAAAATCGGGATCACGCAAATTTCAACATTTCTTTTCTTGTGATGGATTTATTGTAGTTTTAATATCATTCATTCTGTGCAATTGCTTGTCAATTCTTTTGGTTACATGACAAACTTAAATGACAGTCCTGGTAAATCACTTCTACAAATGTCTGTCTCACTTCCTGACATTTTATTACGTTTAATATGCTTCGTTTTAAATTTTACTTATTTGTTACTCATCAGTGTCTAATATTTTTCAGCGTCTGGAGCAGCATTTGACCATCGAGATGCAGAAACGAAGACTCTGTGACAACTGCAAGTTGGTGACCGTCGATATCGACCGCTCCAAAAACTTCTTAAGTGGCTCCAACGTCGCATCCAACAACTATTCTCATTCCAGCCATTCTAACATCCATTTCACCCCTCTCAATATCCAGTCCGCACCCTTCAATATCCAGTCCACCCCTCTCAATACCCAGTCCGCACCCTTCAATATCCAGTCCACCCCTCTCATGCACGATAACAACCGTCTTGAACGGCACGATAACAACCGTCTTGAACGGCACGATAACAACCGTCTTGAGCGGCACGATAACAACCGTCTTGAGCAGCACGATAACATTTATTCGGTATTGCGTGATAACAATCGTCTAGAAGTGCACGATAACAACCGCCTTGCATTACAAAATTATCGTCTTGATAACTGCGACAACAATCGTCTTAGAATGCTTGATAACAGCTATCTTGAATTACGCGAAAACAGCCGCCTTACAATGATGAATAACAGCTATCTTGAATTGCGTGATAACAATCGTCTTGATATGCATGATAACAACCGTCGTGAACTGAATGATAACAATCATCTTGAAGTGAATGATAACAATCGTCTTGAACGGCGCGATAACAACCGCCTTGATCTGCTCGATAACAACCGTCTTGAACCTGACGATGATCTTTATCTTGGAATACGCGATAACAAGCGTCAGGAAATGTACGAAAACATGCGTCTTGGAGTGCAAAATGACCGTTTTGAAGGTTTCGATAACAAGCGCCTTACTTCTCTCAATAAATGTCGTCTTGAAATGAGCGATAACAGCCGTCTTGAAATGTTTGATTATAACCGTTTTGAAAGTCACGATAACAACCGTATTGGAACGCAAGATGACAAGCGGCTAGAGATGCATGAAAATAACCGTCTTCAAGTGAACAAAAATCGTTTTGAAATTCCCAACAACAACTGCCCTGAAAAGAGCGATAACAGCTGTCTTGCGATGCACCGTGACAATCGCCTTGAAGAACGCGATAACAATCTTCTTGAAATGCGGGATAACAACCATCTTGTAACCGGCGCGAATAACCTGTTAACAATACCCACAAACAATCCCGTGGGAATGATTCGCAATAATCGAGTTTCCGCTCATAATCTTCAGCAAACAATCGAATACATTCGTACTGTTGACGGAGAATCCGCCAGTGGCACCGCACAAACATTCCTGAATGAACGCCGACGTGATGAAAGAGAACCGCACAACTTGAGTCAAACTCGCCTGAACTTGAGGCAGCTAATTACACATAACGAATGTTCTCTCAACAACCGTAGCGGCGTTATCCCTGGCAGACCTGAGTGTGAAGACAACTTAGACGATGCTCAGGGACAAAACTTTTTCCTGAACTATACATTATCTGATGGCGTGCAACAGTTAGGTGGCTCACTATCACATGGGTTACAATTATCCAATAGTCATTTCCCACACACCCCAGATTCAGATCTCGTAGCGTCGAATGGCTTACAACCATCAGGCAGCTCAGTGTCTAATGTTCCTCAGCCACTTCATTGCGAACCGCCGAATAAAGTACAAAAATCGGGGTGCCTGTTGTTCAATGAGTTACAACATTTGAATTGCAAACTTTCTACCGTACCACAACGATCCTCGGTGGATCCTTCAGTTGACTCGGGAATCGCCGATTCTGAGTGTGCTCCATGCGTTATTCGCAATAACGTTCATAATGATTTTATTCGTCCTGATGAGATCGGCACTGGCTTTCCGCGAGATGGCAATGAGACAAATGCGCAAGACCATAACATTCAACGCCAATTTCGACAGTTGAAAAATCAACATCAGGAAGTAATATCACTGCAACAATCACGAGGTCATCAAAGTCAAGTTCAACAACGAAGGCTAAAAATTCAACTTCGCAATCCAATACAACGTGAGCAGATTCAATTGGACCCGGCTGGTCCATGCCAAACGAAGGCGTCGAGAGCGCCTGGTGATGTTTATTTTGACGACGGATCAGCTGAAATTGAAGAATTTCCTTTCCCAGAACTTGGTGAGCCCATTTTTCAGTGGCCGAATTTTTGCCTTAGAGAGCTGGTTTACGACCAGGAATCGACGCCAAGCGAGTGTGAAGTTCATGATGAAATAGTCGCCGACTTTGCTACTGTTAAAAATTGGCTCGAAAATCCCCTGAACAATGCATCGGCTCGCCCAACGCTTGAAGAGCCCGCCGGACAAGATGGTCATGACGGCCGATTTTACATGTGTGTTCAAAACGATTTTCCTCACGATGACGCAGAAATTATTGATGGCTGGGTAGAAGATTCCGTAAACGAGTTAGAGAGACAAGTTCTCAATGGACCTCTTGATGAGGAATATTGTGAAGGCCATTTCTCCCCGTCTGTTCAGAACATGCTCGACACGCAACACAATGAAGAAGGAAGCCCCACTTCAAAAGTTTTTGGCGCGAACAACGCTCGTGTTTCCAAGTCTCTCGAGTTTGATGAAACCAGCAGCTCAGGTATCAGAGAATTGCGTGGTACGATCAGAGAGAAGACGGGCGATGAAGAGTCACGCGCTCATTTTCGTCTGCGAAACTCGAAAGGCTGCGATATCTCTGCTATGAGCAATGATGCTGAAGAGCCAGATAATTCTTTGAAAAATTGTATCGATGACAATATCTCTTCAAGTAATGATCCTAGAGTTTTATATGCATCATCTTCTCAGGTTGGAAACATTGAATTGGTTATCGAAATTGAGCCTGAAGGTGATGAATTCTGCGAAAAGTTCAAACACAATGAACTGAATAGTGAAGAATTCAGTGACTCCATTCCCAATGTCGCTGGCATTGCGAAAGCCGATGATCATCTGAGTCATGTTCAAAATGGATCTACGCAAAAAATCGGCGCAGAAATTCACGAATTTTGTGACGCTTCAGATTCATTGAACGCTGTGGCTGTACAATCACAATCACCATCACTGATCCAAAACGGACGCTTCGCTATTTCCCCTACTGAGGACCAGGCTATTTGTGGGGACTTGGGTTGCCCTCTTGTAGGATACGTCGAAGAGGAACAAGCATCATTCACTATTACATGCAATGCTGAAGACCATGGAGTTGAAGACGAACTTCCTTCTGTTGTAGCACCCATTGCACAATCTTTACCAAAAGTATCTTTCGGTTTGGGCGCTGAGGTTCACCCTGTTACCAATACTATAGGAGCCTCGTCAAGTTCAGTGATTTATACAACACAATGCGGGGATGCTGTAAATGAGGTAGAAACTATCGATGATGCCGTGGTCCTCCTGCACTCGCCAAGGACTGATATTCTCAACAACCAGGTAACTTCTCGCCTTCATTAAATAAACATTAAATTTTCACGTTAATCATTCATGCAGCTTCAATTATTTGGAATATAATACATTCTCAGACCTAATGAAGCTTACGCACTCGTTTGTAAAACTTTGATCCTACCAGTGATCACAAAGCAATTTCATTCTTCCATCGTGAGTTCGCTTCGTGTGGTCGATAATGGCCTTGTAATTCTACATCATTTACGGTACTTGTTTCTTTCTTCTAAATAGAATACCAGAATACTCCTTCCTAAAACGTTTGCAGATTTTTTTCACTAAGCTAGTTCAACTGCTTTTTTTCGCAGGTTCCACCAGGTATTCGCGCTAACAATTATTGGGACAACTTCCGCAGCAACACACATCAAAATTTACTGTCACACGCAGCACAACGTAAAGCTGATCCGAATATCGCTTATCGAGTAGTCGGCACTTCCAGAAACCATAACTTTTCCACCCACGGTTCAGATGCACAAAGTTTGAACTGTGATTCGTGTCGTGGATATCAACCTTTATTTTGCAGCAATGCACGCACAAAAACATGTGAGTGCACTTCATCCTTGCAAAAGATGGAGCTTGCTGCAACGGGTGCCACTCCGAAGTCTAACTCGAATTCTTTCCACGTTCGCTGTGATAACAATTGCCACCATCGGGTCCTATCGGACGTCATGCCAGCTTCTTTATCTGAGAATGACGTATCGTCTTTTCCGGTATACGAAGATCTCGGTATACGAAGTACCGGTATACGAAGATCTTTACACAATTGCAGTCGATCATCTCTTCCAGATCGCACAAAGTCATATGTTCCAAATTACTTTCGATCATCAGCTACGGTTCGCGGCCAACATTCCATCACGAACGAAAGTTTATATCCACTCTCTCTTTGCACGCGATGTTCACCTTCAGATCGATTTAAGCCTCCTGCTCCGGTGAACAGTGACGCTTGTGTTGACGGTCACTCTTTTCAAGAATTTAATGCAATTTTGAACCCTGATTGCAACGAGTCTTTGACTCCTATTCGCGATCAGCCTTTGTATTTCAAGTGTAGTGAATTAGCTGGTGCAAACGATGGACCATCTATTGCCGAACGCAGTGGATCATCAGGCACAAAATGCAGGGGTGTATCGGTATCATGCGCTTCAATTTTGAAAAAACCATCAGAGTTGAAGAACAATGATTTGCATGCCTCGATTTACACTAGACCACTGGCGCCTGACTACAGTAGAGCTTCTGCCCTAAACTGCAGCAAATATTGTACCTCAGATTGTGATGCCTCGAACGTACGACCTCCGCCCACGGCATCGAATAATGAACTATACTCGAACTCAACCGCTGGTAGAAAGGGAATCCTTTCTGCGCAACTGCCGAGGACGAACGGCTCTCATGAACAAGAAGCGATCCTAGTTCCAAATGCAAAATTCGTTTTGCGTTCTTTGCATGATCCTGAATCCCAAACAGAAAACAGCCGACCTCATAACTTTTGCAAAAATAATTCTGACTTGTATTCATCGAAACCCGTTAGTCAATGCACGAATAGGGACCATTTTCACAATGATCATCAGGATTTACCCGTGACGAGCATTGAAATGAAACCGTCGTATCTAGAATTCCCGCCCTCTGATACGAACTTCCCTCCCTCTAACGTGAACTTCCCTCCCTCTAACGCAAACTTCCCTCCCTACAATGGGAGTTTCCCTCCACCTAACGCGACCTTCCCTTCCTCTTCTGCGAACTTCCCTCCCACTGAGGCAAATTTTCCTCCCTCTAACGTGAACTTCCCTCCGTCTAACTCGAACTTCCCTCACTCTAATGCCAACTTCCCTCACCCTAACGCCAACTTTCCTCACTCTAACGCCAACTTCCCTCACTCTAACGCCAACTTCCCTCACTCTAACGCCAACTTTCCTCGCTCTAACGTGAACCACCTTCCCTCTGACTCAAAAGTCCCTCGCTCAAACGAAGACCTCCCTCAATCTAAAACGAACTTACTTGCTCACAATGTGAATACGCTTAATTCTAATTTGACTTTTCCTCCGTCCCATTGGAGCTTCCCTCCGTCCGAATTGAGCTTTCCTCCCTCTAATGCAAGCTTTCCTCCCTCTAATGCAAACTTTCCTCCCTCTTATGCAAGCTTTCCTCCCTCTAATGCAAGCTTTCCTCCCTCTAATGCAAACTTTCCTCCCTCTAATGCAAACTTTCCTCCCTCTAATGCAAACTTTCCTCCCTCTAATGCAA